AAACGCCGCTGTGTGTCTCCCTGCAGCATTAACTGGTGCTTGTTAGCTGTATTAAAATCTATAGGCGGAGTTGGAGGCGCTTAGCTGCTGCTGCTGCAGCAGCAGCAGCAGCAGCAGCAGCAGGGGGGTGGTGATCTGGGTCGGGGTGGCTTGGGGGGGGTGATGGGGGGTGGGCGCGGGCCCTCGTCCTGCACCTTGAATTGTTTTTTATATATTTATTGAATTTAAAATTAAAAATAATTCATTGTACTTTTTTTAATTCATAAAAGCGTTGCCGTCTCGCCACTTTGCCCTCCAGCCGCAGCAGCTAGCGCTGCCGCGCCCGAGTCCATGAGCAGCCGACGCCATCTCAACACCAGCAGCGGCAGCAACAGCAGCACGAGCAGCAGCAGCAGCAGCAGATTCAACAGAATTTATGGCCTCAAAAGGTTTAATTTAAAGTAATTTCAAAGTCTGAAGGGCCCTAGTGGAGAACTTTCCCTTAAAAAGGGCTTTGCCGGGCTCTTCGCCGCTGGAGGCCGAATTCAAGTCTGGGCGACGCCCGCTGCTGCTGCTGCGCTGCAGCAAAATATGAGAAAAATCACCTTTTTGAATACACTAAAACATGCATAATATTAAAAAACAGTAAAAAGGATAAATTAAGCCTCCCATTCAATGTAGACAAGCCTAGGGGGGGCTGCGAGCCTTCTAATTGCCTAAATGCCCAAGGCTCTGTGCCCAAAGCCCGCAGCTGCTGCTGCAGCAGCAGCTGCTGCTGCTGCTGCCCTGCTTCTCTTCTTTCGGCTGCTTGAAGGCGTTTGTCTGCTGCGGCCCTTCCGCTGCTCCTTGCCGCTGCCCCTGCTGCTGCCGCCCCTGCTGCAGCCGCTGCTGCGGTTGCTGCAGTTGCTGCTGCTTGAGCGCCTTCTACCCTGTCTCGCCCTCTCTGCCTTGCCCCCTGCAGCCTCTGCCAAATTTGCTGCTGCTGCCGCTACTACCCGCTGCTGCTGCTGCTGCTGCTGCTGCCAGCTGTGCAGCCTGGAGCGTGTGCTGCTGCTGCGTGTGTCTGCTGCTTCCGTGTGCCGCTCGGGCCCTGCTTGCTCCCTTCTGCTGCTGCTGCTCCCCTTATACCTCTAAAGTGCCCCGCAGCCGCAGCAACAGCAGGGGCGAGCGGCAGCAGCAAGCAGCAGCAGCAGCAGGAAGAAATAGAATATAAATTAAATTAAATTAAATGTTCCGTACTACGAGCTCGTCGAAAATGCAAAGACTGCAAATGCGAGTGCTTATTAAAGCCGGAAATAGGAGGGCCCACAAATGCGCGCAGGCTGCTGAGGTGTACGTACACCTCAAGGTGTCTGTACACCCCAATTAAAGCTGCGCGTACACCCGGGTTCCGGGGTGTACGTACACCCCGACGCCAGGCCATGCATTCATAGCCCCAAAAGGGCACTGCCAACAAAATCTTCTCACGCAGCCACAGCTGCAGCAGCAGCTGCAGCCGCAGCTGCAGCAGCTGCAGCAGCTGCAGCAGCAGCAGCTGCAGCAGCAACTGCTGGAGCTGCTGCTGCCTGTAGAGACATCCAACGTGGGGGAGTCGGCGGCCAGTCGGGCCTGTCAAGGCCCCCACGCTAAACAGCAGCTGCTGCTTTGCAGCAGTTCCCGCTGCACCTTCTGCTTCAGCTTCTGCTGCAGCTTCTACTGCAGCTTCTGCTGCAGCTTCTGCTGCAGCTGCTGCAGCAGCTGCTGCTGCTGCAGCTTCTGCTGCTGCTGCTGCTGCAGCTTCTGCTGCAGCTGCTGCTACTGCTGCAGCTTCTGCTGCAGCTGCTGCTGCTGCAGCTGCTGCTGCTGCTACTGCTGCAGCTTCTGCTGCAGCTGCTGCTGCTGCAGCTGCTGCTACTGCAGCTTCTGCTGCAGCTGCTGCAGCTGCTGCTGCTGCTGCAGCTGCTGCGGCTGCGGTGGGGAGCATCTCTGTGTGCTGCCTAGTAATGCGCGTCGCCTCTTGTGTCTCGAGACTTGGAGATGACAAATGCGTACATAAAATTGGCGTCGGGCAGCTGCAAAGCAGCAGCAGCAGCAGCAGCAGCACGTCCAAACGCGGGTCAATATTGAACGCAGCAGCAGCAGCAAACGCACCAGCAGCACGAGCACCAAGCGCAGCAGCAGCAGCAGAAGCAGCAGCACCGAGAGCAGCAAACGCAGCAGCAGCAGCAGCAGCAAGTGCTTCGCCAGCAGCAAGCATGTGAAGTGTCTGCTGCTGCATCTTCTACAGCTATTCTGTCGCTATAAATCCTCTCATTCTGCGTCTGCCTCGGGCCCAAAAAATTGCATCTCAACTGCCGCTTTCCCCTGCGCCGCAGCAGCAGCAGCAGCAACAGCAGCAGCAGCAGCTGCTGCTGCTGGCAGCGACGACTCACCCCCAAGGCGCGGGCGTACTTGGGGTTGGGGGGCACCATGTAGACTGCTGCGCTGCTGCCTTCCCGCAGCCCCAGCCTTTGCTTCTGAATAAAGTAGTCGCAAAGAGCATCATAGTGTCTGCTATCTGCTGCTGAGTCTGCTCCCATTTGCCAGGCCGAGAAGCGCGCTCCTGCTGCT